TGTAAGGGATATTTTCATGTTATTTTATATCTTTTTATTTTACGGCATGTATTTGTGAAAATGATTAGGCTATACGTACAGCACACACCACATAGAATAATGCTGCGCATTTCAAGGCGCTTCAGTGGACCTTAATGTTACCTGTTTTGTCAATGTTAAAATTATTTTTAATATATCAATAAAAAAGTATGACAGGCTTTTACTCAAGTCTTTATCACTTTATTAAAATTAAGCAAAACAAACCGACAAATGTTTAGGCTTGTAGTAAGCTGTCTCTTGCCTATAGACTCAATCAGGTAACAAACATGTCGGGAAACGACACCTCTGGCCATACGTATGTTGCTCTTTCAAGCGGCAGAAATTATTTTATGTATGCCATTCTGAGTCAACACCATGCTTTTCCAATAACGGGGAAAGGATTGTTTTCCCCCACGCCGAGTCTATAGGACTACTGATTGGTTTGACAGTGACACCTAATTAGAAAGCTATCCTTAGATCAATTTCACCAAAACAAAAACAGACATTATGACACTGAACACATATTTCAGAATAACTGGCTGTAGCTTTGTTTTGTATTTGTTTTTTTTCGAGAGAGAAACAAGTACGCGAACTTGGCATGTTTCCTGAATATCTACAAACATATTCAAAATAAAATATTATTTTACCATAAGTACATCTCCGGAATGTTCCCGTTCCTGCCATCTGGTGCAGCTTCTCAGCCTGTGTACAATGTCATACTTTTTTCTTCTAGAGTGCCACCTCCAAAACCTCTTTCTTGTTTTCTCTTCTATTCTTGCCCCACTACCATCAGCAACCTCACCAGCCACAACAGGCCTCACATCAACCTGTTGAGCATGGTTCTCCTCCTGGATTTTGTGTACACACCCCCTATGTGTTTTTTTTTATTTAAAAAAACACATTAGTTTCCTTAGTAGACCCATAGTACACAGATATACCTATAACGCGTTTGTACTGTTAACTCCTTATTTTACTATCCAACTACTTCAAACAAAATTAGGTGAGATTCGAAGTTTTTTATACTCTCCCACGTGCGCCACAGAATTCTATTTGCGACATCATATGCACTCGTGCATAAGAGAAAACAAAACATTTTAAAACATAACAAAATTATTACATCATAACATAACATCATTCTCATCTAGGCCACAGAGAGAACTTTTCAACAGCTATATGGAAAAGCAATATGGTTGCTGCCGTGTGTTTGAGTTTGAGCTCCGTCAAGTTAATTCTTTGTCGTCTAATTTTTTATCTGAAAAGCAAAAATAAAAAAAAGGTCGTAACACGTGCAGGCTTGTAAAAGCATTTAAGCAATATACAGAAAAATCAAACAGCTGTGGTCGAATATTATGTCTGAATTTAATACACAAGAAAGAAAATATTCTTTAAAGAATTTATCTCATTATAATGGTCGGCTGATGGTGCTAAACAAACGCACATGACCATTGTAAAAAGGTCCTTGAACAGGACCGTGAGGCTGATGATGTATGGGGCAACTTTGGGCAATGCTGCTGTCAACAGGCAACCAGGTGAGACACAGGGCCCACAAACGATCTAAAGTATCCAGATAGAAATGTATTCCCCATTTTGGGAAAGTGCCCAAGCAACATTGCTCAAAAAAAAATTCCCGGCAAAAATGCTCAAAAAGATGGTTAGATATTAAAAACAAATACAGTAGGCCTGTGTCACACCCCTGTGGACTGTCGATTGTGGTTTCTCCCTCTGTGTCCTTATTTGGTTGTTCCTGTCCTCATTATCAGTTAATCACCTTATTGTGCTCACCTGTCTGCCCCTCGTTATCTGCCCTATATTAGTTCCTGCCTCTTGTAGTCTAGTTGGTCGGTTATTGTAAATGTAAATGCCAATGTCAATGTCCATGTTCCTGTGAATGTTACCTTGGATGTTTGTGTCTACCCTGTCTGGATTTCCTGTTGTTTAAATCATTAAATATCCTTTATTTCGTCGTCTTTGTCGTCCTGCCTGCTCTCTAGTACACCCTGCCTGTGACAGCCTGCATACAGAAATAGGCTACAATAATGTACACTTATTGATTTGTTTATTCTTGATGTGAGTTTTTAATGATGTATGGCTTCTAATTATGAACACAAATACTTTAACCTGTAACGCCCCTTTGGACTGTTTATTGTGGTTTTTTCCCCTTTTGTTGGTTTAGCCCATACTAATTATTAGTTAATCACCTCATTGTGCTCACCTGTCTGCCCCTCGTTATCTGCCCTACATCTGTTCCTGTCCCTTGTATTCGAGTTTGTCGGTTATTGTGAATGTTACCCCGAGTGTGTGTGTGTGTCTCACCTTCCTGAATCTGCCTTGTTGTGTCTACATTAAAAGTAATTATTGGAATCCTTGTCGTCCTCGTCGTCCTGCCTGCCTCCACACACCGAAACCGTGACAGAATAACCGACCACTAAATAAAGTATAGCGGCGTCTTTCCCCTCGTTCGTTTTTCTGGTTTTTGTCAGTTTTTATTTTTATGTTACGGATTACCCCGCCTTCCAAATCCTCCTGCTGGAGCAGGGGGAACACTCTCTTGAGGACCACACGAACGACTTTCTGTCCCTGGCTCACCTCACGCACTACCCAGACAACTGCCTCTGTTCATTCTATCAAGTTGGACTTAACGCCACCACACGAGCGCAGTTGTCCGGGGATGGTCCTCGAGAGAGCCTTGCCGCCTTCATCGAGTGGGTGCTGGTGTCCTGCAAGTCCCATCTAACCGTGGACATCGCTGACAACAACACCAGCCCCACTCAGGACCCGGAGCCCAGCCCACCATCTCCCCGCGGTACGGAGCATAAGCCTGAGCCCACCGATGATGGAGAGCCATTTCCCGCTGCGATACACGAGCCGGAGCGAAGCCCCGCGGCTGAGAAGAGGATCACCTCGGATATTGAGCCCAATACGTCAGACCAGGTGCGAGAGCCGGTGACAGTGCCCACCACGAGGGAGCAAGCCGTGGACGGTGTGAGCGCGGAGAGGAGCTCCACCCCCTGCATCACGGCTGAGGGTGAGCTGACTATGGCGGGGCATAAGGGCCAGAATATGGAGGGATTTCAATGCCAAAATGAGGAGGAGAGACCTCGGAATCCTCAGTTTAGCC